GCATACCTTGTCCACATGCTGTATGTTGTATGTACCATGAAAATTTGGTACCTGAAGACTTTGTTGCTGATTGGTACAAGAAAGAGAAGTATGCCTTAGCTTATGGCTTCCCTATAAAGGGAATGTGTGGGGATAAGTCATGGCAAAAATTTCATGGTGAGCCTTTGAATCCACCCCCAGTTAGAAAAAGGCCTGGAAGGCCAAAGAAAAATAGGAGAAAGTCCAAAGATGAGCCCAAAAAAGTGTCTAAGGCAGTTATACTCTCAAGGAAAGGAAGAGTCATGACTTGCTCTAATTGCAAGCAAGGAAGACATAACAAATTATCTTGTCCCTTCAAATTGAATGATCAAGTAAGTCAACAATTGTTATTTGTTTATTAAACTTTTTCTTTAATAATGCTGTGTGAAATGCACTAAATTAAATGTCAATGCATTGTAGATGCCTCCAGCTATTGCATCAACAAATGGGTCAAAAAGAAGGCCATCTGCAGCTTATCATCGAAAACCTAAAGCTGTTAGTTGCAAGTGTTATGTTTATTTACATTACTAATTTCATTTATAATACTATTTTTAATTAATAATCTGTTTTAAATATGTCTACAGGTTAAGACTAATGCGAATGTCAATCCTTCACAAGCATCAAATGCCCCATCTTGCCTAACATCACTAGCTGAAAACACTGTATCACCTTTTTTTCATTTGTTCTAGTTTTATGTTTTATAATTTATTGTCATTTTAAATAGCATAGCTTATTAATTTTTAATGATGACTGCAGATTGTTTCACGTGAGCAGCCACAATCTTCATTTGCAAATAAGAAAGGAAAAGAAAAGGTTAATTATGAGAGTGGGAAAAATAAGAAGCAAAAAGAGAAAAGTTCAAAAAGTAACATACAAACTACTAAGCAAATTGGTGCAATGATTTGGCATGTGAGTATCCGTTTTATTTATCATATGCTATGTTATTAAGTTTGGTATGTTAGTGATTTAATTGTGCTTACTAATATGCTTAATTATTTATAGATTGGACTGCATACAAATGTGACAGTTAGAGAAGCTGTAAATGAGCAAATTCCACAAAGCAGTGGTGGAGGCCCAACTGCTTCAACTGTAGTAATGGATGGTCCTTCAACCGAGCAAAGGAACATTTTTGTGATGCCCCCAACTGGAGACAACATGAGTTTGGCTACTGAAGATAATTTCTGGGCAGCATTTTGAAGCCTTTTAATTATGCTATATTGCTGAAGTTTATGTCCTTTGTGTCTTTTGTGTAATGGAGAATTTATGGGCAACCAAAATTTGTGTCTTTTGTGCACTAGAGAATTCTTAGGCAGCTGAAGTTTGTGTCTAGTGCGTTGCAGAATTTTTGTGGAGCTTTTAATTATGTTTGCACTTTTGTAGTACCACAGATTAGTTAACATAGCTTTTGTTATTTATGACAGGTTTTATTGTGGTGATGAACCATATTTGGGCATGATTTGTTTTTGTTCATGCACTCTGTACAAGTGCTATGTTAAGCTATGAAACAATGCTAAGTTTATAAGAAAGGATATAAAAGTTTAGGTAAATGTTTATTATTCAGTCACTGTTCAGAAGATGCTTATTTAGTTTATTCTTTTCATTGTTCAAGCTTTTTGTTGCAAATGGTCATTTATTTGTTAGTTTAACATTATAAGAAGTAAAGACTCATTTACTGCAAAAGCGTTTTTGTCATTGATAAGGAAGAATATGGATACAGATTGTACAAGAGACATGGCTGCCAATGTCTACATACAAAATCCTACATAGCTGCCAATGTCTACATTAACTACCACCTTCTAACTTAACAAAAGAGCAGCTTAACAAAAACAGTTTAGGAATTGGTCATTTTATAGCTGACCATAAACAAATGCTATAATAACCACAACAACTACAATAGTCAGCAACAACTTCTTAATCAACCTCCTAACTGAATTCTCAACTCCAATACAAACACCATCACCCATTGCTTTCATCCTACACTAACTCCGTGGACATTTCATCCTTTAGCATCTCAATAGGCCTTTCAAAATCTATTTCCTTCAAATCAGCTCTCACCTTCTCAATGCTTCCTTCAACATTCATCCCCCTCAAGTCAGCCCTTAGATTCTCAATGCAATTTTCAACGTGACTCAGGTTACCTCTTTGTCCTCTTGGAACCCTTTTCCGTTGAGACTTCAACCACTCATTTTCCTCTTTCAAATGTCGAATCACATCAGGTGCTCTTCTAACGATTTCTCCATCATGCCATTCAAAGAAAATGCATTCACTATCAGTCTATCATCATATAAAACAGAGAGAAAGAGCTAGGTTCTATAAATAAAATTTTCAAAAATATTAGTGTATACAGTACCAGCAAAAAGCTCAAAGGAAACGAAACTGCCAGTAGCGCATCCATCGAATGTCCTTCCTGCATCCATAAGAAGCCATAGATTAACACATGATATAGAACAATGACTCGACCTAATCCCAAATTGTTTCGAATCCCAAATCCCCAATTTCAGGTTCCCAAAACCCCTAATTGTTCCTAGAAAGAAGCCCTAATCGTTCCCCAAAAAAAAAAAACCTAGATCGCTCCCCTGATCATTCTAGAAAGAAACTCAAATCATTCCCCAAAAACCACCCTAATCATTCCCCAGAAAAAAAAACCCAATCGTTCCCCAGAAAAAAACCCAGATCTCTCCTAGAAAGAAACCTTGATCATTGTGGAAAGAAACCCAAATCATTCCCCAAAAACCACCCTAATTGTTCCCTAGAAAAAAAACTCAGATCATTCCTAGAAAGAAACCCGATCATTCCGCAAAGAAACCCAAATCATTCCCCAAAAACCACCCTAATCATTCCGAAAAACACCCTAATGCCTGATCTCTCTGTGTTTCTTAAGAAGTGGGGCTCAGGGGATCGAGGAACTTGAAGTGGACGGTGGACCCGAGGCTCCCTTCCTTTTATGTTTGCCTCTCGTTCTGAATTTTTTTTTTTTTATTTTGTGGCATCCAAGTGGACAACCCAAATGCTAAATCACTTGCCACATAGGCATTACATGGCAAAATGTTGCCACGCAAGCGAGGTCCTAACGGCAGTTAAGTTGGCCATAAGAAGAAGGGCTAAATTGCACCGATCACAGAGTTCAGGGGCTTATTTGCTTCAATTAAAGTCTGGGGGCTTAATTGCGATTCAGGGGTTGGTTCAGGGGCTTAACTTATGGTTTTGCCTATTATTTTCCCTTCATTTTTCAACAGATTTCAACAGTTTTCACAACTCCAACTTTCTTCTTTACATACCAAACTTCCATTTTTCCCCTGAAAAATCCTTCATTTTCAACCTCTCCCCCAAATACACCAAAAAATACCTAGAAACCACAATTTTTATTATATTTTCTGCACTTCCAGCATTGCTGAACAATTTCCAGACTTGTAGAACATCATGGTTGGGAGACAGCATACTACAGATTCATTTTCTAGGTTATCTTCATGAGCATCAAAGGTTCAAATTGAAGAGTTAGCATAAAAAACGAGATCAAGCCCTCCACTCACAAGCTCCCAATACGGTCATCCTTCCTTCTCTCATCACTACTTTCAAGTTCATTCCTTTTGTCATATTAAAGCTTGAAGGAGACCATTGTGCTTTTTATCTACAATGTGAGGGTTGCTCATTATAGAGTAAGAGGATTTATCAAAGATAATAGAGGGCACATTCATTTTTTTTGTTATTGTGCTACAATACATTATGTAAAATTGTGCTTCTCAAGTTGTAATTTTTAACCCTTATATATTTTCTATCCTTGCTGCTGCTATAGCAATGTACATTTCATTTTCATTATTTTTTGTAGTTGTGTAATCACTCTCATTATCTTGGGAGCGCCATTGTCACCCCATTCTTTCTAGCTTGGCTGGGCATGCTCTATTCCTAAACTTCACCAAAGAAGCTTTATTTTTAAACTTCATTGGAGAAACTCTATTTCCAGACTTCATTGGAGAAACTCTATTTCCAAACTTCATTGGAGAAACTCTACTTGCGGTCTTCATTGGAGAAACTTTACTTCTAGACTTTGTTGGAGAATTTGTTGCTGACCAACATTGTTGGACATCTTGGAACTCTATCATCACTGCCAACTCTCCCTCTTGGCTTGGCTGGAAAACTTACACCTTTAGACTTTGTGAGGGAATTTGCTGTTGACCAACATCGTTGGGTGGAACGAGACGGCCTGGACACATAACCTTTCGCACGTGAAACAGGTGTAGCCAAAAGGGCCCTCCTCATTTTTCACGAGTGGCATCCTAATCATTCTCCACATCATCTCCACTGACTAATCATCCTACATCACCAGCACATCCCAACAATTTTAAATTAATTTACAATAAAAAATAATGTACATAATTTACTGTAATAAATTATTTGATCTAACCATTAATTTTTTAAAATATTAATTAAAGTATAATATTTTAAAATTAAAATTTCAATTTTTTTAATGGTCAAGATTCACATCCACTTTTCTCAAAACATAAATTCAATAACAATATTTAGCTGCCCTCATCTCTCTCTAAAGAAAATCCCGATGATAGCCCGATTGGGGATATATAGAGGATGAAATATATATTTAACCTTTAGTAGTGACATACGAATAATTTTTATATTATTTTTTATATAATTTTTATATATTATTAAATAAGTTAATGTATTTAATATTAAAGATTTAAATAAATAAAAACATTTAAGTATTTAAATGATATATAAGATTATAGCAAAAGTAATATAAAAATATATCCCTAAATCATTTTCCTTATCTTTTTACCTTATTAAATTTAAAATTTGAAATCCCTTATTATATATTATGAAGCTTTTTAACTCTTAAACTTCAATATCTCAAGATTTTGACTTCTAAACAAATAAAATCTATTAACTCTCCATTAAAAAGAGAATAAAATATTTATAGGATTAATCTTCAACGATTAAAAATATAATAATTTAGTTCTAAAAATTTTAAAAATTAATTGACGATTTTCTCATATATATTAAAACAATATTAGATATCTATAATCAAATTAAGCAATTAGTTTAATTTAAAGAAAGAATTCTGATTGAGATTAAAGAAAATTTGTTGGGTGAATTAAGGTAGAAAAAATTGGAAAAATATAACCATAAAATTTTTTTAAAATTTCAATTGGATTTTTTTAAAAATTGAGTTAATCACTTAATTTGATTATAAATATTTAATATTATTCTTGTATATGTGACAAAATCATTGTTGATGGATGTTTTTGTAAAAGGTCAAACTTGGACTCGGGTAGTTTTTATGTCACCAAGACTTGCCTTGACCTAAGCGGTCATTAATGCCTTCAACGTGCATTTACCAAAAGGTCCAACGGTATCTAATGCTATAGTACATGGCTGCATTGCCAGAAATACATAAAGAACTCTCGTTTCTTTATTACTTCCTTATTTATTAAATTTCTTCATTTTCATCAACTGATCATTATTCCTTTATGCAAGTCATTAATAAACCCATGAATCCAAGCTCATGGGGATATTCGGCATAAACTATAGAAGTAGTGGCTTGGTAGGCATGGATGGGTGAACGTTGCTTGTCTTGCGAAACGAGGTATTCGCGCCAGTGAAGCTTGGCATTGGCGATGTTGCTCGACTTCACTAGAAAGGGCTAAGTGGCGAAGATGTGGAGATAGACTTGTTCCCCAAAATCATATTGTTTGATGCTAACTAAAAGCTTAAAATCCTATTCAAAACCAACCAAAGATGCTATCTTGATCACCATTAGCAACTTGCAGTTGTATTCAATGCAAAGGTTGGTTGCAAAAGTTACACTGCATGGGAAACTATTGAAAAAGATCACATTTTGTTTGGGAAATCTACCAAAATCTTGGGTAGCCCTTGGGAATCTTCCAAAATTTTGGTTAGATTTGATTTTGTCGATTGCATTCAAACACCCCCCAAAAATGGAATTTCGTATGGCTGGAGGAATTATCAAAGGTAGTTTCCAGTCCATCGATAGAACTAGCGAAACTTCACCAGAATCACTGGGTAATTCATAATATCACTGCCAAAAAGCTGTCAACAATACCCAAAACGACTCAAAACTCGACAGCTTACCTAAATCTACCCATTAGGCCACTGTGCATCTCTGACCTATTGACCATAAATTACAAAAATGCCACTGCATATATATATATTATTTTTCCTTCATTTTTCAATAGATTTCAATAGATTTCAACATTTTTCACATATCTAAATTTCTTCCTCACGTACCAAACTCCCATTTTTCCTCTAAAAAATCCTTCATCTTCAACCTCTCCCCAAATACACCAAAAATACCCAGAAACCACCATTTTTGTTATATTTTCTACACTTCCAACACTATTAAACAATTTCCAAACTTGTAGAACATCATGGTTAGGAGACAATACACTACAGATTCATTTTTTGGGTTATCTTCATGAGCATCAAAGGTTCAAGCTGAAGAGTTAGCATAAAAAATGGGATCAAGCCCTCCACTCACAAGCCCCCAAAATAGTCATCCTTCCTTCTCCCATCACTACTTTTAAGTTTATTCTTTTGATCTTGAGAAAGCTTCAAAGGCTTCAAAGGAGGAATTGTTGCACTTCACATTTGCACCATAAGAGTTGCTCATTATAGAGTGGGCGTATTTAATAGAGATAATAGAGGGCAAATTCATTGTCATTATTATTACATTACAATACTTTATGTATAAATGTGCTCCTCAAATTGTAATCTTTGATCATCATGTATTTTTCATCCTTGACGCTCCTACCACAATGTGTATTTTCTTTTTATATTTTTTGGTAGTTGTGTAATCATTCCTAGTTCCAATATCTAGCTCTTCTGATTTCGCTAAAGAAGGTTCACTCTAGACTTTGCTAGAGGCATCGATTTGGTTGGGGACGCTCTATTCCCAAACTTTGCCAAGAAGCTTCATTTCCAGACTTCACTGGAGAAGCACTACTCTCGATCTTTGCTAGAGAAACTCTACTTCCTAACTTTGTCGGAGAGAGCTCATAGTTCGTCCTTACGAGAAGCAGCATCATCATTAGCTCACTTTCCCAGTTTGGCTAGAAAATTTGTACTTTCAGACTTTGCTAGAGAGTTTGCTACTAACCAACATCATTGGATAGACTGAGAGGGCTCGTGACACGCAACCTCTTGCATGTGAAACGGGTGTTGCCAAGAAGACCTTCCTCATTTTTCACGAGTGGCATCCTAGTCAGCCTTCACATCATCTCTACTGCTGACTCATCAATCTACATCACAAGCACACCCCAACAATCATTTGTCAATTATTTTTAATTTATTAATTTTTTTAATTTTTAATATTTAAAAATAAATGATTATATTTTTAATTTTTAAAAACATATCATATAAATATTTTATTTTTTTACTAACAAAATGTTAACTAATTTTTTTAGTTTAAAAGTTAAAATTTTCAAATTTTTTAAATTTAAGAATTAATAATATGAAGTGAGAAATTAACAATTTTAAATTTAATAAGAGAAAAGCACTAAATGTACAATATATAGCAGCAAGAGTTGATTTGCAACGAATTAGCAAGTTACACCCGTGATTCTTGTGCGGTGTAGGGAGTACTGTAGTAAAGATTAGCTCACGTTATTATTATTTTTTTTTTGATAGGAAATAGAGAATTATATTAACTATAAAGAGATTACAGATGAATCTCAAGCAAGGCATAATAGCCATATTAAGGACAGAAGCATAACCTACAGCATTAGTAACAGATTTAAACTGTGCCCATGACATATATAGCCAATTAAGTGGAGAGAACCATCTGTAACTAAAGATTGTAGCTACAATCACTGTATGGGCAAAAATAGGGCTACAAAAGTAGAAAAGGAGGTCGCTATGAGTGTCTGAAACTACTGGACGT